TATATTTTTGAAAGCATTCTTACTTTACAGCATTTTTTCACACCAGCCTAAAACTTTTGCATAGTACTGTATATTGAGCTGCCCTATTTAACATAATTTAAGTTGAGATTAGCTTTGGCTGGATCATGCCACATATAGCAACCTTTGCTTAACACAGGGCTTGGACATGTTCAATAGAAAGATCATCTACGGATCTCAGGTAAAAAAATAAATACTACTATAGTTAATTGCAGCTGCAGCCATGAATTGAATGACGATCCTTTTCAACAATAGTACAGCTAAATACCTTATTTTTTACTCATGCATTTGATGTTTCTGGGGGGTTTTGCTACTGAATTTCAGGTCATTATTTCTTGCTGAGTTACGCAGCAAGAGATCCTGTTTTTATTTTTAGAATACTATACAAGACAGTGTTCTTTCTGTTTTGCATTTTCAAAATGTACAAGTACATTGGCGTTCCACAATACTTGCATTATCTATAGCAAACGTAAGCTCAGAACATTGTTTCAGGTGGTGGATCATAAAGAAATATTTGTCATAATACACTACTGGTATGTGGGTTACCTGTCTTGGAAGGTTCCATTGAGCCATAGAAAAATTCCCACTTGGCCTTGGCAACACGCTGGGCATGGACAGAGCTTTCTTGTGAATATGCCCACAAGTTTCCCTGTAGAAAGGACAGAGACTTTTATTTGGGAGGATCCCTAGATGTGAGATCTCCGTTGCCTAGGCTTAGATAACATTTCTGGCAAGAAAATATTTGATCTTACTAAGTACCTGGTACTGTGACTCCCTGCTCTGTGGGTGCCTTCGATGCCACAAGAGATCATTAGACAGGCTGCTCATCCCACTGGTGAGGGAATTGGAAGGGCAGCTGGCACCAAGAGAAAGTTGGCTTCCATTACTCCAACACAAAGATGGCTGTGCATTTAAAAGGAACCTGTTTCCAGCAAGAAGAGGATCTGAAGCAGATATCTCTGGCTTCGGCTTAAAGCCAAGATGCTCCTGCCTACTGCTGAGAACCACTGGCTCTTGTTCATCTGTAATGGTCAAAGAGGATTTATCTGTCTGGACTTTGAAGCTTGCTCTGTTATCCAAAACAACAGGATTCAGGGATGCTGTGACTTTGTGCTGTAAGGAATATTGTGTCTGAACATTCATGTTATAGCTTCTTTGCTTGTTGGACTCAAAGTGGAAGGCCTCTTCAGATTCCAAACTTCTGCTCAAACCATTTTCTTTCCTGGACTCTATCAGTGGGAAGCCATTTAAAGTTTTCACATTAGCCTTCTCAATAAAGCGAAAGGTCACTACAGAACTTTGACCACCGGTGACTGGGACTGCCAGGGGAACTTGGTTGCCTGAGGGACATGGGGAGTTTGGATACCTGTTTCTTAATGGAGTACATGGAGCTGTCACTCTTCCTGAGATAGGGCAGCTGGCACTTCCAAGATTACTCATCTTTGTTATCTTCTGGGTTAGGGAGCCAGTGCTATTATATATGCCCAGCTGGGATCGCAAGGGTTCTGGAGTCAGTCCCTTGCGGAGTAAATGAATCCTGCCAACACTGGGTGAGTCACTGTGATTAGGGTTAAAAGAAGCAGGTACCACATTCTTGGCAGGAGAAAGCTGTGGTATCTTCTCCATTTCTTGAACATAGTGCTGACATGACATAGCGTGGTTAGGATGGAAGCACATGACTGCTCCATCATGGGCCATCTTGGAAGAATGAGTTAGAGCAAAAAAGGAAAAGGAGAAAGAGTAGAAGCAATTTTCCAAATGGGGAGTTGGTAAATCTAAGAGAAGTAGCAGCATTACATGGCCCTGAAATACAGAAAAAGAGATCAAGGTCTCAGAAACATTTTGTTACACAGCACACCAAACCACAGAAACAAGGGCAAAAAATACGTCTCCTTTGATATTCATTTCAATGCTGAGTTTTATTGGGGGGGGGGGAACCCTTCTCTGGTTTATTTCTCACTAATAGCACAAAATTATAGAAATATTGAATTGGAAGGAATCATTTACACCATCAAGCCCAACCTATGGTCAGTGCAGGAATCCGAATTAAAACAATCCAGACAGCTGCGTACCCAATGAATACATCCACCCCCTCTCTGAATAATTAGTTCCATTGTCAAACTACTCTTACTGTTAGAATTTTTTTCCTAGCATTCTGTCACAATCTGCCTTCCTGTTAACTGAAATCCATTATTCTGTGTTCTATGTTCTGGAACGAGAGAGAACAGGTCTTGATCTTCTCTGTGGCATTCTTGCAGGTATTTGAAGAGTGCAGTGAGGTGGGATCTGTCCAAAACAGAATAAAATGGAATAATTACTTCCTGTTATTAGAAATTATACTTCTGCTGATGTAGCCTTACATTTCATTTCATTTTTTGTAGCCGTACAACACTACTGACTCTTATTCAGTTTGTAATATACTGATATTCCTAGATCATTTTTGCAACTGTCATTACCAAACCAGAAACTCCCTATTCTATACCAGTGTGTTTGACTTTGGTTTCCTAAATGAAGAACTTGTCTCTGTTAAATTTAATCTTGTTACCATTTCTCTAACATATGAAGTTTTTATTTTTGCCTTCTCTTAAGTATCTCACCCAATTTTGGGCATTTCCAAATGTGGTAAGGATTCCCTCCATCTCATTAAGACATTAATTATATTACAGTACTGAAATGTAAAGGACCTGTGACTGATACTTGTTTCCAATTTGATGAGGAACCATTGATGAGTGTTTTGAATCATTTCTGAGCCAGGTAGGTATCCACAATTGTCATGCCACTCCTCCTCACACTTTATTAGCTTACTAATCAGCATATGTTGTCTAAATACAATTAGGCTTTGGCTCCAAGTATACATTTTCAAAAAAAGGAAGGATTGTTATGTGAAATTCCAAATGATTCCTAGGCAAATACATGGTTTAAACAAACAAAAATAGGCCAGATTGGTATTGATCCCAGTCATTGGTTTCCTAGGGGTATAGCACTGGTCTTTTCCTGTATTAAACAAAGACTGTAGGACAACTCAAAAGTCAAAATCCCATGATTCCTATTTCTGAAAATTACTTTTAAAATGAGGAAGGAGCAAGTCTGTTTTATTTTTGTTCTGGGCCTTTTTTCATAACAAAGAGCAGAAAAACAAACTCTAATCTGCAGGAATCTGGGACTGGAGATTCAGGAAATATATAGTAATCTAGGAATTAGTGGAAGCTAGATTTGAAAAGGAATTTTGCCCCTGTTCTGTTCTGTGCATGCTTGCAAGTGTATTTCTCTCTGAAGGAATGGCAAACTGGGACAATCCCTTTAGAAATCATTGGGGTGTTTTTTCCTTTCTCTTTTCTTCTTCCAAATCATGCTTATTTCCTTGATATACAAAATAGACTTGGTATTGAATCAGCATTTTCATTCTAAAAGGAGTTTAGCATATGCACGGGCATACCTACTCAGTTAAGATACAAAAAAAAAGGGGGGGAAGGAGGTCACCACCTACCTACAACTGAGGAATTCCCGTGAGTGACGGAGATGATTTCTATGGGGAAAAGTAGATGGTATCTCCCTAGGATAGTGAGAGGGTGTATTATTTTGGAGGAAGGCTCAGAGACCAAGAGATAAGCCAACCTACCACATTCCCAGGACGTGCACACATCTCATGGAGTACTTTATCAAATGCTTTACTGAAGTCAAAATATACACAGCATTTTTCATAATCTATGAAGACAGATACCCAGATTAAATAAAATAAGGTTTGTTTGGTAAGATTTGTTCTTGACAAATCCATGCTGACTTCTGCTAGGTACTACATGGTTTTCAAAGTGCTTACAGAATAATCTGTATACTCTGTTCGAAAACCTTCCAGGTAGATAGACTGGTCTGCAGTTTCCTAGATCTTCCTTTCTCCTTTTTGAAGATAGGGAGTTTTGTTCTCCTCCAGTCATCAGGTACTTCACCAGCTCTCCAGGACTGCTCAATGATAACACATAAGAAATTGGCTAGGCCATTAGCTAATTCTTTTAGTACTTTAGGTTAATTGAATGATAGAGGTATCTCTCAAACTCAAGTTTCAATTCGTTTTCTTCAATTTGGTTAGAAAATGAATAAAAATAGAACATAAACAACTATGTCTTTTGTTACCTATTAGTATTTTGCCATCTTCGCTAAACAGTTTGTATAGTGATTCTTTTCCTTTTATTCTGAATATATTGAAATAAAACTATGTTATTCTTAGTCCTTTGTTAATCTCATTCTGAGTTTTAATTTCATGACATGAACTGTACTGTTCCAAATTATGTATGTGTACTCTACTTTTATGATCTGTCTGCCTTTCCATTTCCCAGATTTTTTTTTGTTTTCAATTTTGTTTTCAGTTCTTAAATTAGCTTTCAGTATTGGCTTCTTCTATGCTCCTGCATTTTTTTCCTCCTCACTGGAATTGTTTGCAATTATGCTTTTAGTATCTCCTTCTTTAGAAACTTCCACTTAGCCTCTGAACTTCAGCTCCTCTTCCTGTCGTATCTTTCTGCCATGGGATTCTACTTATCATTGCTCTGAGTCTATTAAAGTCTTGCTTTTTTGAGAACCAAGATACATATAATGCCCAGTTTTAGTTTCCCTGAAAATAAAAAATTTGAGGATTACATGGTCACTTTCTCCCACTGTTCCTAATTCTTCCACTTCCTCAGTTAAGTCTTCCTCACTGATTAGTATCAAGTCAAGGTTAGCTGAATATCTTGAGACTTCTGCTACCCTTTTAAAGAAAAAGTTGTAAGCAAGACAAGTAATGAACTTCCTGAAGGGAGAATTCTTAGCCAAGTATCTCCCAGTAGATGTCAGGGTAATTAAAATAATCCACCACTATACTTTCCTGATTAGTTCAAAGAATCTGAAGTTTGCTTTTGGAAGATATTCTCTACATTTTCCCCTTGGTTGGGTAAGCAAGTGTAGACACCAACAATATTCTTTTTGTTTGTTCTTCCCTTATTTTTATCACATGTTCTCTCTACCATTGCCAAGTTAATTTATTAGCTTTCTGATCAGGAAGGGTTATTTTTTTAACACACGGTCCTCCCCTTCCCCTCTGTTCCTTTTGAACAAATGGTATCCTTCAGTTGGGAAACTACCAGAAATTATGAGGGTGATACACTAGAATGGGAGGTTGAAAAAGAAGTCCCAGAAGAAGATAATGGCTAAACATTTCTGTGTCATAAGTGAGTGGAGCTCATCTTAAAGGAGATTTTACCTTTTTAACACTCATCCAGCAACAGCAATAATCTCAGATAGAGTGAAGCTATCTTTCTACGTCCAATATTGAAGCTTGTCTCTAGAAATGCAGCCTTGAAAGAAGATGATGGATGCACTCGGAAATATATGGCAGCCAGGTTTCAGCAAGTGAGATTGCCTGGGCTAGTGAATAGGGAGAGTGAGGGCATCTCAGTGGGCAGTTTATGTGAGAGCTTCTAACAATTGTTTCCTCTTGGTCAAGACTATGTACTTGACTAACATGCAAGCCTGAGAAGAAGAAATAAGTAAAAGCCTTTCTACTACTGATCCTCTAGGAAGCAAAAGTAAAGATGAATGGACAGGAGTCTGCAATTGTGACTCAAAATGCTTCTGATATCTTTGTTTTGCTGCTTGAAAACAACTTGGCATAGTTTTGCAGCAATTAGAAGCTTGTAGCAGTCCTTGAAGAAAAAGTCAAAGGAATTGAGCAGTGAATGACCATATTTCAACTATGAAAAGATAAAGATTTATAAGTTTGAAGAAATATGGCTGTATTTTTTTTAAAAAGTAACTGCTCATAAGGAAGACAGGCAGGGGAGCAAATCCAGTGAATGAGAATAACAATTAGAAATAAAAGCAACAGCAGATATCCTGAAAACTGGAACTCAAAAATACTTTTCAAGACCTACTGGTGAAATAGGACCTAAGCATTCATGGGAAGAAAAAGAGAGGGAGCTGGGATGGTCGATCCCTAAATAGCAGACAAGATGCTACTATGTCCTATAAAAAGACCAATAAGAAGAGTTATGGTAGTTGTTGACTCTACTAAGATAACTGAAACAAATGTATGCTGACTGAATCTACAGGTAGTCCTCGACTTATGACCACAATAGGAACTGGAAAATTCATTGTTAAATGTTGCGGTCATTAAGCTAGGCATCATATGACCACATCTGATTTTATCACATTTTTTGTGCTGGTTGTTAAGCGAATCACCATGGCTGTTAAGTGAATCACACGGTCATTAAGTGAATCACATAGTTCACTGATTTTGCTTGTCAGAAGCTGGCTGGGAATGTTGCAAATAGTAATCATGTGATCCTGGGATGCTGCAACCACGGTAAAGTCATGCTGGTTGCCAAATGCCCGAATTTTGATCACATGACCCCAGGGATGCTGCGATGGTTGTAAGTGCAAGAATCAGTCATCAGTCACTTTTTTCAGCACTGTTGTAACTTTGAACGGTTGCTAACTGAATGCTCCTAAGTCAAGGACTAGCTCTACTGGCTCTTGAAATCTTCTGTCTGCCAGATGTAAGGATAGCTTCCAAGACTTATTAAATCCACTATTATCCTTTCCTCTTGCCCTTGAAGACCACTTGGAAGCTGTACCTGGTTTAGAATACAATGTCATAAGCAAAGATGGGCAAGCCTCACTATGCCCATATAACATCTGTGCTATGTGAGCTGCACTGGTTACCAGCT